CGATTAAAAGTTACATGATTCACTCCTCAATGCTATCGTTTTGCACGTATACACGCGTATGTGGTTAATTGGAAGGAATAAGTAAGCAAATCCTCTGAAATAAGTAAATACTTCGTAAACACTCTCAAGGTCATTTTCTTGCATTCCAATGCATTCGGAATAATTTTATGGATATCAGTGAACAGATAAGATAGTATTTAGGAAAGACGTACATATATATATATATTCAGGGTTATTTACGCACTGGCTGAGCGAGACGTTTATGTACGCTAGCGACACTTAAATGTTTATCGTATTGTAGCTTCAGCGTCAAAGTATAGTGTTATCGAATTCAATACATTGTTATTGTATGGAGGGGGGCGCGATGAATATTATGATTGAATATTGGGTCGCAATATTGAAAGTTTGAAAAGCACTGGCATAGTCACTTCAACCTCACAAGCCAACACGAGGGCTATTAATCCCTTCACTTCCTCCGGCGTATATATCAGGCTCGCACAGCTGTTACGTTAACTGCCCTTGGCGTATATATACGTCTTTCCAAAATACGATCCTTTTCTTTGTACTGTTATCAGTAAAACTATTCATTGGACAAATGAATGAAAAAAGCTGATCTTGACAGTGTTTGTAAAGCATTTGTTTATTTATGCTTTTCCTTATTCTCAATACGCATACGCACATGTATTTTAAGAACGGTAGCACTGCGGAGTCGTCGCACTGTTCAGCTATACACGATTGATTTTGGCGACGAATCTCGTAATTTTGTGCCATGGTCATGTGACGAAAACGACACCTGAGCTGGCATCCCTCTCTTCTTCCACACCACACCAACCGGAGGACGTATGAGCTCTCGACAGATTTAACGTGTGTCGCTTCCCTACAAGGCGGGTCTTCAGTGGTACTGGGCTCGAACTCATGATACACCAGCCACGAGTCCGTTACCTTAACCACTAGGCTCGTGGGAAGCGAATCGCGTAAATTTTAATTAGCGGTTAAGGTGTTTGTGATAAACTATGATCAAGCGAGGAGGAAAACATCTCAGCTTGAATCCCACTCTTCAAGTGATAGTTTGAAGAATGGGGTCCAAGCTCACTGAGCAAGTACCGTCCCTTTCACTTGATTGATGTCCAAAATTAAGAGTTTCATCATCAATAACCTCGCGTAATTTTTAAAAATGCGTTGTCGATGAGAACAATCGATTTGCTAAAACAATGAGGAAGAGATCTACCTTTTATTTTATTTATTTATTTTTACATTTACCATTTAATGTTATAAATGATTGTGATTATTTATGTTTATTATTCTTTCATATTTCAATACTACATCACTAATTACATACATACATTACTACAAAAAATGTATGTGATAAACACTGCACCGTATTAATGGACAAAATTCATGTGACGTCATAATCACATGATAATTTTAAACCACGTGTTTTTAGCCAATCAAGTTCAAAAACACATGTGACGTCATAGTCACGATTAAAGCAACTATCTATTTTCAGCAAATCAGTTCATGCACTTCGTTGTTGCCAAACTACGCTTTTTCCAGAAACTTTTTTTTTAAATTAATATTTGTCACTTTATTTAAAAGAACATGTATAAAACACGACTTTTTTCTTTAATTTTAAAATCTTTTTGCAGAAATTTCTTTTTATAACTCTTGAGCACCTTTACCCAACTGTGCAATTCGAAATTTTACCTAAGTTTTACAAATAGAATAAAAAGTACGAGCTATAGTTTATTGTCCGTCAATTCAATGTAGAACACGTGTTTATATTATCATGTGACCTTCATGAATTTAGTTTATTGTGCAATATCTGTACACGACAAAAATTGAATAGATTTTCGCTTTCAGTGATCCCAAATACGAACATTCCGCAAATTTCCTCGTGTTAATTAATATTTATCGCAGCTCTAAACTTTAAGAATATTTTATTTGCAACAACTTTATTCGAATTATGAGAAACATAGCTCATTCCCGTGAAAGTGTTGTCGATTCTAGTATTTGTTTTATTACTAAGCAAATTCTGTTTCACATTCCATTTATAGAAAAGCTCTGTCGTTCGCATGGCTTCATTTTTCTTTTTGTATAGAGCGTCAACTCGCGTCGTAACACTGATGTAAATAAGCTTCTAACATGTCTGTACAGTGATTTCTGATCAAGCTTTATGAACTGATATTTCTAGCTCTTTGACATTTGTTAGAAAGTTATTCGACTCTCTTAAATGTATTTTCAGTTCATTTCACAAATGTTCGACTGTACTAATATCAGACTTTTTGAGGGCCATTTCAGATAATGAAATGCACCTTGGTTATAGTTAAACCAGGTCTGCACATTTTTGGAGCGATGGGGAGTACTTGTAGCATTGTGTCGCCTTGATATATTCTATCACCATTCTAAAACCAATCTTCCATTAATGGTTTTCAAACATTTTCTAGATGAGATAAGTACTCATTCCCAGTCCTGTTACACTTTATACTGATATGGGAGTCCAACCAAATACTCTACAGATTTTTAATCCTGAACCTCCAGTCTACACGATTTGTCGGTTGCAATCTGAATGAAGAGCTTCGTGTTGTATTTGAATTATTTGTCTGCCATCATTTGTAAATGTGTAAAACGACTCGCATCGGTCCATACATATTTTTTCCACATTTCTAATACCCAGATTTTAAGTTTTTCGCTTAAGCATAACGATATCTTCGATTTCACGCTGACAAATAGGGGTTTTGTGTTGGTCGCCGATTTTAAGCCCACGGAATTTAAGTTATCTTTATAAAATCGAACTCCTTTATACACAATTTGTAGAGTTGTCAATTGTTTGCTTTTCTCTTTTCCTTCACTATCTTCTTCAGTTTCCTCTCGTCACGTTTTATCATATTCTTGGGTCTATATTCCCTAGAGGATGAAGCTTTTGTGCTACATTTAGTTAAAAATCCTTATTACGCTTCTGTTTAATATTCTAAGTGGTTTTTGAAATTTCGGATACTTTCAAGTTATTTTATTACATAGAAACAAACTGTCCTCTTTTATACTCACTACTATCTTTTGTTGATGCCTTTCTAAAACAAAAACAATTAGTTTTATAGAATTAAAACAATTTTAACTTAAAATAATAGAGTCGGTTGCATTGACAAGTACTTTGTCTGAGATATTTATGAATATTTTCTTTTTTGCAATTTCAGGAAGAATAAAAATAAATGGAAGGTAAGAAGTCATTTGGCCACTATGTTTATGTTGAATTACAAAATATTTTACCTTCACCTGAATTTAAATACAATAAGGGAACTTGTAATTGATATACAATCGTTTTCATATCTCTTGTGATGACCCTCTCGTTGTATAATCTCTCTCCCACCAGAATTACGAAATGTTATTGATTGGGTAAGACGTCTTGAACCTGGAAAGGACCTTCGATGGTGTATGGGATGATACTCCTCTAAATTAGTCTGTTATATTCAGGGAGGGTGAGAGAAGAGAATGTTGGAATATACTAGCATCATTCGAAAATGATTTAGATTATTGTGCTCTCTGTATCTGCAAACGTAACTGTTATTAAGCTCCCATGAAACACCAAGCATTCATATTAGGCTTATATTTGGGGTTAATGTTGCTCGTGACATCCTTTTAATGATGTAATTTCTTTTATTAGAAACCAATATTGATCAAAAATACTTAAATCTGTATAAATATTCTGAAGTCATGTCTAGAGAAAACGATTTCGTATTCAAAAGAATTCCCTATCTACTAGTAGTACTTTATTAAACCTTATTTATACCATATCTAGCTTATTAAGCTTAATTATATCTAAAATATGTCAATCAAACAGAAAATCTATTTTATGAGTAAGGACTAACTACATTTAAATATATTACTATTCGTTTCATTTTTAAACGTTTGTAATGACATTTTAGTGATAAGGCAATTTCATTCCAAAAGAAATTATAAGCTTAAAAACTTTCTTTAATCATGATTTGAGAAAAAGATAAACTAAAGCAAGATTTAAAAAAACGGATTATATGCTGTGGAACTAATTATGATCTAATAGCCCGATTCACATTATTTATTATTTAAAAGAATTTCCGATTTATAAACCCAAATTTAACTGTTTTCCAGATGGCATATTTGCATTTTCTAATTTCAATAACAAAGGAGTAACTAAAGTTTGAAACATTTTAATAAGAAGTTAAATGAATTTTGTCTTCTAATTCTATAATTTAAAGAAGTGACAATAAGTTACTCATTGATAATTTTATTGCATTATAGATGTATTTTCAAGAATAATTAACAGAAAGAATTAAAAATAATTAAGGTCTATTACATTATTTTGGATATAAATTAGATGTATATTTCTGAGGGAAAGAGACGTTTCTTCAATAACTTGAATTTCTTAAAACATCTCTACTACTCTGTTACTTTTGAGATATTTAAGATGTCATTTGACAATTTATGTTAAGAGGTGATATAATAAGCAAAGATAAATAACACGTAAAATTATATAAGTTCTCGCTTGCACAAGCTACGAAATCTTAAAGTAACAACGAATATTTTATTTCAAATAAAATAGTACATTTTATACAAACAAAGTTAAAAAAAATAACTATTGGGATATTTATTTTATTTATAAAGTGTAAACACTGTTTTATTTATGGCTTAAACCTCAAGAATTTAATATAATTCATGGCTGTCGAAAATCTCCGTACATTATCGTAGAGTGAACGTTTAGAATGGGGCTCTAGCTCAAGTATCAATGTCCTCACTTAACCTTGGTTCTCAAAATTATCAGGTTTGTCGATAATGACTCTTAGGTAGCTTCAAAGCGCTACATTAACTTTTAAAAAAGTAAGTCAATCATAGCAACAAGAAAGTCTTTTCAATTCCTACTATTAGTTCACTCTCTATTTTTTAATTCATTAATTAAATTAAGAAATGAATAAATAGTGAACAGAAATAATAGCCAAACACCCTATATAAAAAGAAAATTCGTTCGCTGTGTCCCTGTAGTGCAATGGTAGCGCATTGAACTTCTAATCCAAAGGTCGTGCGTTTGAATCCCACCTGGGATAACCTAATTTTTGAGAATTTTATTTCTTTTTTACTAGACAATTTTATTAGAATAATTAAATTTAATGAATGCATAAATAGTAGCAAAAAAATAGTCCAACACCCTATATAGAAGGGAAAATGGAAAATTGCAATGAATAAAGTTTTCTATTTCGTTATTTAATATTGTCTGTCATATAAGTAAAGAAATATTCATATTAATTGCAACTACTTAATAAAAGGTAATTAAAATAAATTTCTTCTGTGTTGACCTACGTAGTAATTGACTTAATTTTTTTTATATTACTTGCTTACCCCTTTATTGCCATTTAAAATTTACGCGATTCGCTCCCCAGGGCCACCGTTTTACACTTAGGCACTCGTATGTATAATAGTAGAGGAGAAAGAAAAGACACAAATAAGAGCAAGCTTTCCTCTGAAATAAGTAAATCCTTCGCAAACACTGTCAAGAATGTGTTATTGCATTTCAAAGCCTTCAAAGTAGCTTTACTTATAGCAGCATAAAGAAAATGATCGTATTTGTCAACGATGTATATATACGTTCTGGATATTAAATGCACCGGTTGAGTGAGACGTATATATACGCCGGTAGAAACTAAGTGGGTTAAAAATCGTGATCTCTAATAGAATAATTTTGTATCAATAAGTAGAACTGTTTAAAACTACAATTACGTAAAACTCTCTGATAAACGTAACATTTCATAAATACAAAACTTGGACATAAAAATCACTTTAAATGAGCTTTGAAAAAAGTCCAATAAGGCTATAAAACTTCAATTCCAGAAAAATCACGAAACATTCCGTTCGAAAAACAACACGCAATGATTTCAGAGCACAGAAAAGAATAAATTGTTTCATTTAATTTATGCCCCTTATGGAAACTTTGTTTCAAGAAGGGGAGGGGGGACCCTACGAATGTCTGCATCACACAGTTATATTCTTTTTCTTTATCCATTGCCAAAATTTCCGTTTCATCGGGAATTTCTAAATCTTAATTCATCAAATTAAAAATAATGGATTTTCTATTTTAGTCTTTATATTTATGCATTATTTCTTTTTGGTGCATTAAGTGTAGGATATCACGTAATCTCTTTTTAATTGGATAATGTAATTATGGAGAGTAATTTTGTTTTATTACGCCATAAAACGTTTTTCTTTTTCTTATCTCCTAATATTAATAAAAATGGTTTTTTATCCTTAATGTATCATAAGTAAGGAAGTTTTATGTGAACTTCATTTTTACTGATACTTTAATTAAGAAGAAATGCTAATTCGTCTTATCTCAGTAAAAAATAATTACTCTTCCGCTTTATATCAGTTTGTTTTGGAGGATAGTTTACGTTATGAAAATTCCAAAGAATGTGCTTTATATCCTCTTTATGAACTTGTATCTATACCATTTCAATACCTGTATTTTAACTACATTCAGTTTGGTTGAATGTAAGTGATTTTGAGGTTTATTAGCGCAAGAGCCGATTTCAGCTATACTGCGCCAAACATTTGTTTTAATATCTGTGGTCTAGACGAGAAAGAAAGAATGAATTGAATGACAAGAAAGAGGGTCGAAAATAGAGAAGGATCACTAGGGTACCCCGGGTTCGTGAAGCCCGTGTTTACCAAAGACAGTAAACCTCGTGGGAAAAGGAAAAGATCACTAGGGCACCTCGGGATTGTGACACCCGTACTCACCTAAAGAAGGTGAGCCCCCTGAGGGGGGTTGAATGTAAGTCAAACGCATCATTCTAAAACCTAGAAAGGTGTTTTGTGGAAAAGCAATTCCACTCAAATTTGAGGCATTTAGACAATTGAATCATACTTTAGAGAACTAGTTTAGTAATTTTATTAAGGTATCTGAACACGTTTAAATGATCAATTTCCCGCTGAGTTTCCCGCGCGACTATTTTTTTTTCCAAAATATTTTCTATGAACAGGCAACATTCTCCCCCTGTCAATCACTTAGTGGTTTTGATTGCTGTGTAGTAAGGCTCATTATGGTTTATAAATATAAATGAATAGAAAATAAAGAAATAAATAGACATCTGTGCGATTTCTATTGAGTGAAGTTGAAAATGATCAAGCAAGAATAGAGCCTGATGAAATAATGCATATTTTTTTAATCATGATAGCGAAAGTAAATTTGAGAAAAGAGATGAACATGAAAGATTTGAGTTGAAAGAAAAGTTTCCAAATGCTACCTTAAATAATCCACCAAAAAATATATGCATCCACAAGTGTGCACAACACACAATGCACCCTGTCAAAAAGACACATTCGAGAAAAAGTTCTACACATGCTATTTGTCGATCATAAAAGGACGATAAAACTACAAAACCTTAAGCAAAATAGGACAGTTTTGCCCTCATTTAATTATTTCTGTAATGTTGACGAAAATTGTCTGTGTGATTTGTGTCCTTTAATAAGGTCGTTCACATTTGAAACATTTTAGTTCAGTTTTATTGGATTTTTTTCTCAAATTAACAAAGTAAAATTGAAAAATCTTTAAGAATACGTAAGTGTGTGTGTGTATATACATATATATATATATACTTTTAAATAAATTATTCACAGGAATTGTGATTTTTATCATGCACAATAAAATAAATATGATCACTGGACTGAAGTGACTCAGTCACCCCCGCGTGATCATTAACGTTAGTATCGAGTGCGCGCTTGCGCCCTGATTAATAAACTTCCAATAACGGAACAATCAATCAAAAGTTATTTTTTAAGTATTATTTCTCGCATCATCGAAAAATTGAAATGTGGAATCACGACAGAAAGAGATAATTTGATTCTATTAATGTACGGAGGGAAAATTGAGAGGACACTTTATATTCTAGAAGCAACTAATGATGATTATGATGAAGTTAATTAATATAATGGTTTTTGAAGTGTTAAATACAGTTAGCCTTCCTTTCCGTTCTAACTTTCTCTCTGTATATATGAACATGGCAAGATCTTGCATCTCAAGGACTATTTTTATTTCATTTCGACAACCTTATATTGACTTGTTTTATACCATTACGTTTCTAAAAACACATTCTGTTCCCCCCCCCCCTCTTATTAAAAGAACAATTTTTTTTTTAAAAAAAAAAAAATGTCTTATAACATTTAAATATAAACTAGTTTCAATATCCAATTTTTTTATACTTCTACTCCTTTAATTTCGCGCCTCACTTTTCTAGTTAAAAAAAGGAACTTATCAAAAAGGTGGAATTCTATTTAATTTCGTTATGTTTGACCCATATCTGTCTTTTTTTTAAACTTATCCAAGACAGACTTTTTGGCAGTGATAATGTTGAAATGTACCCCAAAATAAGATATTCTCCTAAATATACATATACCTGTTCGTTTCATTATTATTTGTACACAATGGGTTTGGAATAACTTGGCGCTTATATAAAATAGACAAATATTTCTTTGTAAAAAGATGCCTGCATCAAGGAAGAAAAACTATCAAACACTTTTTAAAAATACGTTTAAGATAAAGAAACCATCACACGCACGCACACACCCACCCACATATATATTGATTTTATTACATTAATAAAAAAGTTATTGTATTAACGTTGTATTGAAATAAAACGTTTCCATTACGAATTCTATTGTGTAATAAAATAAGCTGATAAATGTTTCATTCTTTCTTTTTTAATATAATTTATTTATCTTATAGTACTCATTTGTTGGTAATACGATTTTTATCAAATGTCTGCAGTGATGGAACTTTATAATTTGTATGAAAAAATTATAAAAGAAATTTGTATATGTTCTCTAGTTATATTTTATTTCCTGCACTGCTTTAATAAATCTTCCAAAAAGGTGTGAAAAATAAATCTTCAGGGGAATCGATCGAAATTTTATAGCTACGAAATTTTGTTTCATAATTACAAAGCTAAAGAGTATCGCAAATAATAACACCCCACTAAATATGTCCCTTATTCTATGTATTATGTACCTTATCTGCCATTCCTTTTTTTTTGTTTCATATGGCCAGAATATGGTACAAATTCATTAGGGTTAGTGAAGGCAATTTAAATTTTTCCTCCACTGCAATTTCTTCTTTCAAAATATTAACAAATTTTTGTAAGTAGACTAATAAGAAACATTTTTTTTCTTTTTTTTCTTTGCTGTTTTTCTGAGGTTGCATACTTTCCTGTGGCTTAAAACTCTTTCTTTTCTTTATTTCATTTTATTTTTTCATCTGCTTTATCCATGCTGAAATATTCTTTTGTACTTCCGGGGATTCTATGCAAATCCTGTCTGACCGCAATATCCTTAACAAGCAAATATGCGGGGGTAGACGGCTTTTGTATTCTTTTTTTAATAAGAAAGAAAATGGGGGGAAAAACTCAACTAAAAAGCACTAAAGTTATGCTTGCTCCAAATTTTCCATCATAAAAAGATCAATTATGCTCTATCCTGGAACATAAAATTAGCTTTGGTTAGGCAATAAAAGTCATGTTAGGCAATCCTCTTAGTTTTTAAATTTTATTTTTCTCCTGAAAACAGATTTTTTTTGTTTTATTCTTTAGAATATTTCGTAATGTTGTCTTTGACATATCGAGTACAAAATTTTAACTTTTAAATTCTTTTTGTGAAACTGTTTGAATAGAGACAGTTTACACTGAATAAAATGTGTATGTTCTCCAAGATTTTGATTTTATCAGAAAATACCCTATTTTACATATAGAGGAAATTTCTTTAGATAATTGTATCTTTTTAAACATGTGAATACCTTTAATAATAAAGTATGTCGTTAGTTTTTTCTAATTAAACATTACAACTATTATCGTATTTTAATTTTTTTAAACAAAATAGGATAAATCTGCTGTAATGAAATCTAAAATCATTACACTGACTATTAACTTAATATCTAAAAATTGTTTTTTAAAATTATTTTAAACTTTTCCTCTTTTTCAACAATCTTAGATAATTTTTTAAATTCTCCTTTTTAAATGGGGAATTTAAAAATAATTATAATTTTTAAATGGAAAATTAAAAT